TAAAATGAATTTCATCGATGAAGTGATTCCATGACTTCCGCACGTGTATTTGAATATGTATTTTACATCGACGAAAATTCGACGTCAGAATCGGTGCAATGTGCTATCGAGCGAGTCAACCACGATTTTCGCCGATTTGAAACGACATAAATTCTCAAATTACCGTCTCGTAAAAGAAGAATTCGTTCGAGACTGGTTGTACGTAAAACGAAAGGGTCGTTTTCTTTAAAAAGGAGCTGGAGATTTCCTCCCATAGTGAACAGCTGGCTGGCTGACTTGGCCTTATTGATTCAACAATATCTCTCGACAACGCGATACGACCGATTGGAAATCGTAAATCGAACGACTGGAATCGACCGGAATTTTACGAGCGGCCACCGGTCCGTTTTTATTATAAGCTGATGTATTAGATACGAGAACGGTCTGTCGTGCGGAGCAACGCGATGAACTGTAAAAACCTCGCGTTCGAATTTTTCCAGTTACTTGATTCGAAGTAGTTACATGTACATCGTGGCATGCTCGATGACATTGGTTCGATTCGTGTAATCTCGAAAGCGTAATATTCATCTCGTTTCAAATATCGAAAAACTTTTCTGGTAACTAGTAGTTTCTGTATAGTAGAAGTTTGATCAAATTGCCACGAGACGATGAAAACATCGAGTTTTTGCTGAACTAAATCGACCAACTCGTGAAGTTACGAAAATATCCAAAGCGTCCACATGTGGCCCTCGCATAATGTAGGAGTCCACTGATTCTTCGCCGTTACCAGCGATTTCTCGTTCAAAGATTCAAATAATTAAATTCAACCAACGACAGTCCATTTGATCGGGCACCGTCTGAAATTCGGTTCGAACAATTTGGCGGAATCAGCATCAACGGCAAATTGTATCATCGAGTACGAGCCTGTCTCGAAATCGTATAATGAAAACCAGGTTTACATTGGCAAAGTGGTATCGATCGACTTGATTTCAAGTAAACTGGCTGAATTAAGCGATGCTCTTTCGGTCCGCTGGAAGAAAAACGTCTCTTCCTTTTCGCGTATCAGTCAGAGAAAGAGACAGAGTCGCTGAAAGTAGCGTAACTTTCTTGTGAAAAGGTTCCCCCTTCGAAGAAACAGAATTTACTCGTCACGGCGATTGCAAAAAGAGTTTGCAAACTGCGCAGCCGTTGAATCGAGAAGCTTCTCGGAGAAACACGAGAGCGTGGGAACAAAGTGAGAAATATAACTGGATTTATACGGCTGAACTACCATTGATATTTTTGAAAATTGGGGGCAATGAGGTTCTAAATTGGATAAAATTGAAACTTTCCTCCCCGAAACGGTCAACGCGCGTTAAGTCGAACGAAGTTACATTAATGGACCTTCCTTCTTTTGCCAGCTTGCGAATGAAAGGACCTTCGAGAAATTTATTTTCTTCCAAAGGACAACAATTTGCCCTCTGGAATTTATACGTCTTCAAAAATACTCGAGCAAAATTATATAAATAATTTTAATTTTCGATGTAATTTAAATAATTGCCTGATATTATGGCCCCTACAAAATAAAGACATTTTCTCCTAGCAGAATATTCTTCCACGTTCTCATTTCTACTCTTTTAACGTACCTTGCATCCTTAGAAATATATGAACGTAAAGATAAAACTAAATATCAGTAATTTTGAGGAGGATTCTCTTGTTGTTACTACAGTGAAAATTCACTTAAACAACTTGCAGCTATTTGCGCTAATTGTCTAACTACAGTGAAAATTCACTTAAACAACTTGCAGCTATTTGCGCTAATTATCTAACTGATCGTGACAAGTGTTTACGGGATGGCTGCGACTGTGTTTAATTACGAGCAGTATCAATTAGACAGTAACGGATTAGGAATTACGTTTGAATTTGTACGAGATAAATCAGATTTAGATTACATGTAATTGAACCGAGTTACGTTCGAACCAAATAGAATTACATTAGATTACGTCTCTGGGGCATGACTAAATTAGCTCTCAGTTACATCTAGATAACGTGTAATTCAAATGGAAATCCAACAAGAAGGAACAGCCACATTTGGGTATATTATTTCTCAAGAACGTACTCTGAATTCTTGTTAACTTATCGGTGATCGTTATCGCGAAAAAGCAACGCTTCGCTTGCAGATTCTGCGACGAATGAAATGAAAACGAGAACGAAAGAAGACATAACTTGAAGAGAAATTCTTTTTATCAACCACGCATAATACTTTATACAACTTTGTATTTGCATCTTCCAATTTTCCAGAAACTTCTGTCTCCGTAACACGTAACTTGTAATTTATCAATTGACAAATTGAAATATTATGGATAATTAGAATAAATGGCGAGAACGTAAGAAAGCCTTGATTTTTCAAACAAGATTGCCGACACAATAACGTACATACATAGGGCAATAAATAACCGTAAAGCCTTATTATCTCTACAACCACAAATCCATTAACATTCAAAAAAGAAATCTCCCCGACACGATTCATTAACCTAAACGTTTTCTTTCTCTAAATTGCGAAAGATCATTCTCCGCCATTAAAGGGGTATTCTAATGTGAAATTTTGAAAAAAATTGATTGTTTTTTCTTGCATATTCTTAAAGGACATAGTTTCAAAAATAAATCTCTGTACATGTGAACTCCTAAAATTAACGAAATTATGGTTATTTGAAAGACGCGACGACCAGACGTCATTGTTACCGCAATACTAAATTTTAAAGCTATTTTTCTGGAAACTATGTTCTTCAGAACGATGTCCTTGATATCTCAAAATCTACTTGACCAATTGACTCGAAATTTTAAGTACACATTTAGTACATGTGTGACTATAGCCCCTACCAGAATCAACCAAAAAATTTTATTTCTTATATTTTCTTAGGCTTTCGAAGTTTAACAAAAACGTGCAAAAATCGATGACCAAACTTCAAAGTATCGCCACTTTTTTAATTACCGACTTTTTTCTTTTGTTTTGGTACCTGCTATAGCCAAACTAATACTAATTAAGGAACATTCACGTTTTCTCATTTCTGACAAGCAGAAGGGCTGGTATCATGGACACCGTGAGACGACTTTTTTTAAAAGCGACCACGTTTGAGAGTATTGCAGTGCCACTAATTTTAACTTATTTTTGTCCCAAAAAAATTTTAAAACATCGTTGAAATACATACAAATAAACCTTGTCAATTTGACTGCAAAAAGGTATTCTAGTTTCTTTGCAAAAAATTCCCTAACAACGTTAAAAAAAAACACGCATTTCAAACTAGAATACTTCCTCAAACGGCCCATTCCGTTGCGCGAGGGTCAAAGTTTCAGTAGTATAGCCCGCGTTATGGCGCGGCACTACAACCTCCACTGTGGTTGTGGCCACACTAACAGAGGACAGAAAGAAAGAGAAAAAAATACAAGAAAAAGAACACGATAGGAGAGAACACGACGGTGGGTTGGCCACGAGTCGTTGATGTTTTGCAAGATAAACGACAGACGGCAGCAAGGCGTGAGAACTGGCTGATATTACGCGTGAAAAAGGCGCGCTGGAACTTGTGCGAACGACCTAGAAATGGTTTACCGTCTACGTCGGTGCCGGGGAACAGAAAATAAGGTTTAAACGAGATAGTAGGCAGCCACTTTAAGGCCGACGATAAAAAAACAGATCGACCGAGCCATCTTCCTGCCTGGAGCGGCAGCCACTGTTATTTTAGAATTAAGGGCAAAGCAATCGTATGCAAGGCCGATGCGCCGTCGAGGAAAAAAAAAAAAAAGAAAAACAACTATCTGCTGGTACCTCCTGCAAGAGGAGTTATTGTTTCAGGTGCGTGCGATTAGAAATATGCGCCGTATTTGGAATCCAGGAGTGATTTAATAGGTCTGTTGAGCGTACGAGACGCAGATGATTCATGACTGTTTGTCGAAGCCAAGATATTTCGAATTGAAAAGCGAAAGAAAGGGGAAATTGGAGAACGATGGAAAAATGCTTATGCAATTGCAATTTTACAATTAGTCCAGGCTGAAAGACATTGTTCGTAGACAATTCCCAAGAGCACAAAATACGTAAGAACACAAAATACACAAGAAAAACATTAATATATAATTATTTTGATTCATACAAGAATGTTACGTTACATATATTAATTTATTAATTTTGAGATACAACGTGATTACATGTAAATAAATAAATTTTGTTTCTACGAAACAATTGTTCATCAGTTTGAACTCAACACAATTATTATTGGGATAAGTATGACTCAACATATGTATATTGGCAATTCTCGCAAGAGAATAAATCACTACACTAGTGGGAGTAAATTACAAGAAGGCATTTTTCGTCGTCATTGAACGAAACGATCAGCAAAATTAAATTAACGATCGTGAGCACCAGAGATAATTTGCAGGGGAGTTGTTGCCCAAGGACTTTCGATTTATGGGATACGAGTTTGATCTTATCCTCAGAGGGTAATGAGCTGGAATCTTAGAGGACATCGTGGTAGAATGTTCGAATGACTGCGAGGAAGTTTAAGTGAGGCACGATCGATCGATCTTTTATGGGCCTTTAAAATTCAAGCGTAAATCATTCGAATTTTTACGTTTAAATTGGCTACCACTTACTCAATTACATCGTTTTGGTCAATTACATCGGTTTTCTCTTGAAAAATTTAAAGTTCATTAAATTTCAACAAAATTAAAATTCATCAGAGTTCATTAATGAACAAAATATTTTTGCTGCGAAATATTCGTTTCGAGAGATATATCACTCGCGTGAAAAGATATTTAAGGGTATACTGAATTCGCATTGGAACACAAGATTACAAATATGCGATGATAAATAAAATAAACTGAAACTTAACCTAAAACTCAATATGGAACACGTAGACCATAACCGTCATTATTTAATTAGCCGCCATTATTTTCCAGATGTACGATTCAATCGCATCGCGCACTAGATTACGAAGGAAATTGACTTCCAACAGAAAAAAGAATAACATAGCAAAGTAAGTATTTCGTACCTTTGAAACGAAGCGGGAGAATCGTTGAATTCCCTCCGAGAGCGAAGAAATGCACGTTCTTTGATAATAGATTCTTCGAAATGATTTATCGTCACAACGCTTCAACATTAGCTGTAACGCGACACTTTCTGCGAAATTGGCGAAGCGATGAGATCGTCCGGGGACCCTTTCAGCGTTGCAGCAAGCAATTCCCACTGGAACTGCCACTCGCCGGTAAAATTTGAAAATTGCCGATCTTGATTGACCGAGACTATTCCAGCCGTTTATAAAACGCAATCTGCCAATCAGCTTCTCCCGGGCGTCCTACTCTGTACACTAATACTCGTTATCCAGTAATACCGAAGCTATGCTACATTTCCAAGAACTACCGCGACCATTAAGCTTTATTTAGAACTTTTAGTGTCCCGGAAAATTCAGTGCATTAAATTTCTGAACACCGTCTGACCGCGAAATCACTCCGAGAAACACCGAATGCACTGGAACGTGGTGCACCAGCCGCGAAAATAACCGTACTATTTTCAAATTTTCTAACGCCGATGGTGGCGCCCTTCAGCAGTCTTATGTATCGATTCGATCTATAGTTATCGAACTACAATGCAACAGGTATTAAAACGCCGCGCGCATTGCGCCATCACAGTTTACGTTTCCCGCCAAATTTGTGTTGTGATGTTTCAATTCTTCGTATCCACAGTCACTTGGAAATTTAAAGAGAATTTGAAGGTTTCTTTTCCCTCGATATCTTCTTCAGGCTCGTAGACTAAGTTACGATGGTAATGATGTTTCACGCACTAGTTGCTCATATTTTGCATTGTCAAGAGGAGGTTACAACGATTTGGCTTATCTTTGCCAAATATTAACATTGTAAACAACCGTCGCTTTGTCTTCGAGATAGGATCGTTTTAAAGAATAGTAATGAAGCTGCTTTTCAGATAGCCTTTGTTGAATCGCATTGTTAGAAATAAAATATCTAGCAAGGTATTGTTACAGATAACATCTAAAAAACAATTTGAAATCATCACTTTTAAATGATTAAATAAAATTGGAAATAAAATTCATGTACAGAGTATTACAAACCGGATATTTTATATTCTTAAAACAATCATTACAATAAAAAGTAAAAATAGACGTATTACATGTAATATATATGAAAGTATCATATGATTAAGCAGAAAAAAAGGAAATTATAAAAATATTAAGATCTTACATAAAACAGTAATTGCTATTCTAAGAAAAGGAATGTTTTACTTAGAAGCTAAGTAAATTATATTAACCAAATAATTTATTTGAAAGGCGCATTATTATGATGTGTAATTTGGTCATGTCTTTTCTCACATGAATCCATGTAAGGCACGTAAATCGTGAAATTAGTAACACTTACATAGTAAGAATTGAGTTACAAATTTTTCCAAATACAAAGATATTTAATAACAAAATGTCAATTCTTTTACAGGAAGTACCCGAGAAATATTTATTTTGCATACCACACAAGAATAACGCATTTTTTGTTAGAAGAAACTTAGTATAAAAATATTATATGTAAAATTACTATAATACATACAAATGTTAAATAACTCTTAATCTAGTTAAATATAGTCCTCGCCAAGCTTAATATTTTTGTACATTATTAACATAATTACCTTGCTGACTATAAGTACAAACTAATAAAAATTTTTTGATTTGTAAAATTATTTGTTTTATATATATATTCAAAACATATTTTATTATTACGCAAGTCGAGACATTCCGAATTAAACAAATGCTCTTTTCTACTTAATAAATATTCGTTGCTGTAACAGCTGCCCTTGAATCTCACGTTACATAATTTGCTTATAGTAAATAAATCTAAAAATATCTAAAATATTGATCATCATGGTTTGTGCATATCATCTTGTGTCTCATTTTCAACTTCATCATTACATATATACATTGAATCTGAAGTATTTGCACCTAGAACAAAATATATTTGTAAAAATGGTTATTAACAATAAATAATCCTTTTCTCCTTGAAGACAGAAAATATATTTTTAATGTTATCTTAACATGTTTGAAGATGTTTTCATGTTTTCATGAGAAATATTACACGAATAAAGTAATGCAATAAATATATATGTTGCAGAAGGAAATATAAGGCCAGCCATAAATTCGATTAAACATCAAACATCAAAATATTTCATAAACATAATACTTGAAACAGAACTCAAAGGCAAATATAATTAGATTCTCTGGATTACTCTACATTACTTTTAGATATTTATTTTAATACTTGTTTATTTATATATCTCTATGTTAAAAACATAAAATTTGCCTTATTCTTTTTATATGTTTCAATTAATACAAAATTTATAATAAAATTTTGATGCAATAATTTAAAAAAGAAATGATACATTGTAATGTAACTACAAGTATACCAAGTGTTAGTACCAGATGCTATTGCCAGTAACACCTTACATGCAATTATTTGTTATGCAAAAGTGACAAGACACAATTATACATATAGTAGCCATGCAATATATTGCAGAACAACTTTCCTTAGTAGGCAAGCTTCATCAGTTTTTATATAATGCCCAAATTATAATATTAAAAGCACTCATATTTCAATAATTGTTAAAGCATAAATATTGTGACATAAATAAAAAATCAATGATAGAATTAAGATGAAAATGAATAGTTAAGAGTGAAGTCCTTCTGGAAATAAAATTAAGCAGAATGATTGAAAAATATAAGAATTATGACTTACAAAAATCAATATAAATAAAAAGAATACATTCGATAATCAATTTTAATGTTCAACATTTATTCAAACAAATTTTTCTATCTCACCAGTGATTTAAATCACAAAGTAAAAGTATTATTAAAAATGTTATATAGATTAATTTTAATACAAGATTGAGGAAAAATATCTGTAAAAAAATAATTAATTTCAATAACTACAGTATTTAAATCATTGTCATCTCTCTCTTAAATATAGTAAGAAAAATTTAATCATCTTCTAAATGTAATAAGAAAAATTTACAATATAATATAATTTTGAGTTGTTGTAATAACTTTCGAACGTAATAAACTGATTATCGTATCAAAGAAAAAAGATTTGAAATCATGAAAATAAATTATGTACCAGATTTACAGCACACTATCAGGGAAGGCCCGGCGATTTATACATACGTTGATTCAGCTTGCCCTTTATTCTTAGAATCTAGATACTTTTCTGCAAGAAAGATGTATGCATATTATATAAAATTAACTAGGTATCGATTTCACAATGGCCTGGTAAAGTATTTAGTGATGAGCATTTCACGTAATTTTCAATTTCAGAGCGATCCGAAATTCATTAATCTCGAAAATTCAAATCATTTAAAACCTAAAATCCTTAAAAATCATAATAAATGTTAAATTTTAAACCTTCATAAGCATCAAATCATTATAAAGTCTCTCAATAAATTTATCAAATCTTGAAACTTTAAAGATTTGATAAATTTGAAATTTCAAAATATAAGATGTATCATGACTTTTAGAACTTTAAATATAAAATCATGTTTAAAGTGACTTGAATTCTTCACTTCGACATGTACATATTCGAAGCGATTAGAAGCATTTCAGAGCACATCACTAAGAATATTGTATGTCGTATAATGTACTGCAATATCTAATGTTTCTAATATAGGAATTACTACGTGCAATTTATTATAAAATAATAAAAACAAAATATTATAAAATATAAAAACATTAATATTATCTTAGATAGTATTTAAGATATTTTGAATGTAGTTATATGACCGCCATGATTTTTTTTTTACAAATAAACAAACTTTTTTTGCATTTGTTTAATTGTTTATGATAATAAATGAAGATGATTACAATGTGTTTTAACACATTAAATGCCATGGTATTAATAATCAAAAGAAAAACAAGCTAAAGAGGAAAATGTGCTTTTTTTATTAATTTTAACAAAGCTGTCACCTTCTGAAAAATTGTTTATAAATTATAAATTTCAAATAGCTTCAAATTTTCAAAGAAACTTTTAAGCACGTTAAGCGCCTATGATTTCTAAAAATCCGCAATTTTAGAACAAAGGGACAACTTTGTATTATTTCCCTTCATTTTTATTTTCCGTATATAGTATTTTATTTTCAAAAATATTAACTAAATAAAATTTTATATTATGCAACAAGTTTTATAATTATATTTATTAAATAATTTTCGGCGCTTAACGTGCTAAAAAAAGTGAAATTGTATTTTCTTACTTCTTTTTTCAAAAAACTGTCCGTTTAATTCCAAGAGTGAGAACAATTCATGCACTGTGCAAAAATAATTACATTTTGTTAGCATTTTTTTTATGATCTATATTTATGATCTATAAGACTAATACAATTTTTAGTGACAGCTCTTAACAAAAACAATGTTTTAACTTTACGCAACGTTTTCCTCTATAGAATATCGATAATAAATGATTAATAAAAATTAATATATTTTTAATTTTATTATTTCGTAGTAAAAATCATTAGCAATTAGTAATTTATTTTATGAATAACTTGCAGCTAATATACTACAAGCGATAGTGCATTACTTTTTGGTGTAAAATGTCTATATTATTCTTGCAAAAAATGCTCCCAAAACAAGACAATGAAAAACTTCTTAAAAATTATAAAACTTGTACTAACTTGTGTATATATACGTGTACATCAAACGATAAGCTGATTAGTAGCAACTTTCATACGTACATGCAAATAAGATGCTAAGATAAAATTTTTTTTTCTCTTTAGTTATATGAACGCTATTTTACTTACCTGCGATCGTAAGATCGACTAATGCTTTATCCTTTTGTATGTACAATGCTGTAAGAAAGAAAAATAAGCTGCCCAAGACCGCTACGAACATTGTAAGAAACATTGCATACTGCAAACTGCGAAATTCAATAAGTGCGTTTTCAGCTTGACTTGTTATATGTTTTATTTGACCATCCATACTCAAGTCTGAAAGAAGAACTGTTTTCAGTTCTTCCGATAACTGAAATCAATCAATGAATTTGCCAAAAATTAACAATATAAAAATTATGAAGAACAAATATAATATACAAGATAACATAAAATATGAAAATATAGAACATTATACAATAAAATTATTCAACGATATAAAAGAGAGAATTTGAAATACATAATTTAATAAAATAAAAATTTAATATATATTTTAGAGTTATTTAAATTTGTACAGATATTTACCAAACCAATAAGATAAGGACTTCCTGCATCTCCAAAGGCATGTGCGATAAGTATCTGGAAAGCTTCTGCTGTAGATCTTCTTGTCGGTATTACTACATACTATAAAATTTCAAAAGAACAATCATTGGAAAAATATGTTCAAACAACTCGTGAAATATTGGAACTTAAAAATTTAAAGGAACATACCAACAATATGTCTGCTACAATGGACCAATTCAAGTTTAATGATAATTGTCCAAAAAATATGAGAATGTAACATACGACAGAATTTGTATTGGCAGTTATGGTTGCAAAAAATAATAATGGCACACTGATTAAAAGTCCCATAGCACATATCAGAGGATCAGCTTGCTGCCACTGTACTCTTAATTTTTGGGCTAATAATGAACCCATTGGCACTCCTATTAAACCAGCCAACATTCCTATCAATCCGAATTTATAAGATACACTGAAATGGTTCAAATAAATAGAAGCCATGATTTGCAGATACGATAAGTTAAATTAAATAAATAAACGACAAAATAAAAACATACTCATCTGGATCAACATTATGTCCATTAGGATGCAATGCAAATCCTAATTGTAGAAACGTTGGAGCCCACCAAGCTAATGCACCAGCAACAAATGCCACACATGTAAAGCCAGCAGTAGAAAGCATAAAACTTTGACTACAGGATAGAAAAAAGTAACAATAATGTAAATCATTGTAACAGAGAGTATTTACTCTGATATTTACTTTTTTAATAATGCCTTGATATCACTTGACCACGCAGTATTTGATAAATGAACTCCACCTTCTCTCTCCCCCCTAATAGGATCTCTTACGGCTGTAAGCAATAAAATAATTGCTAATATACCTAACAATGGAGTAATACGTAAACCCCATTGCCATGCACCAGTGACTCTGGCTACCTCACCGCCAGTTATATATCCTAAACCACTGAAAATCAAATTATTTTGAAATTCACATTAAGATTTTTTTTTTTTATTACATTGGATACAAAGTTCAATATGTTTACCTTCCAACAGGTATTGCAAAATAAAATAGTGCAAGCATTTTAGAACGTACATCTTTTACAAATAAATCACTAATTATTGTTGGAGCAATCGTGGAGTAACTGGCCTCTCCTATTCCAACAAGAGCACGGAATAAGAGAAACCACCCAAATGTCTGAAATAATTTTATTTTATTTATTATAAAAAGATCTCTATGGTAGGCCTCTTAACATTACCTTCATGTAAGATCCAACAAATGTTGTCAAACACCATAAAAACACACCGCTACTCATAATAACTTTTCTATTGTAACGATCTCCCAAATATCCAAAGAATGGTGCAAACACCATATAACTCAGAATAAATGCAGTTTGAAGTAACCCGGATTTATCATTAGTGATTTTAAAATCATTTTTTATTTCCGTTAGCATTCCTGCAACATTGTACACGGGCTTTACAAATTTTGATCAACTTTGGGCAAGACATAACCACAATTATCAGCATATTGAAATCATGCAAATACATACCAGCGATCGTAAAACGATCCATGTAATTTATTAAATTGACGAAACACAGTACAATGACTGTGATCCAGTCGATTCTGCTGATCATTCTTATATCCGAGAACATTTGTCTTTTCACTCCTCGTCTTTCTCTCGATGTATTTTGAGCATTTTCGGCGTTCACCATATGATACTCGTACGTCGATACATTTGGAACAGTTCCTTCATCACTCATGACTCAAAAAAATTTGTATTGGTGCCAATTGTTATTTGCATTTGATACGAATTCACCCTACTTATAAAAATATTTCAACTCTATATCATGGCATAACCTCAACCAGATTTTGGTTTACGGTACAACGAACTTTCACGTACTAAAGTGTTATCACTAATGTACCAATACATTTCTATCAATTATCTATAAAACAAATTGCAACAATTTACAAAGCGTAGTGTTTAATTGCGTTTTACAATTAAACGAAGCACATAACATTAATCACAATTTATGCTATGTCACAAATCTGCATATATGACAACTATTAGAAACCAACATATCATTTGTTACGATTTTACAATATTTCACATTTTATTAAATGTATTTAAATGAATCTTTTCAGTTCATATCTATGGAGACTTAATTTTATTTTGGAAATGTACTTTATGTTTAATAAAGAAAGAGACTGAAATGTTATGGATTAAATAAAAAAAAAAAAAAACATTAAAATACTTTTCCTATTGTTGAGTAATATTCAAATTGCTTTTATCTATGTTTCTGATCTCATCTATAGTATTTTAATATTTCCTTTATGTGTAAAATACTGATTTATTTTCAATATGTTAGTGTTTATTAACCTGTAACTTTTTATGAGTGTACTAACTTGATGATGTATATATTGAGTTTATATATATGTACATATTCATATTTAAAATAGATATTCTGAAGACTATATTAGAGAATATATTAAACTGGAAAAAATCCAGAGACAGTAAACTGGAAAAAATTCATTTTTATTCAAATGTCGTAATTAATAATTTATTTATTCAATCTGTGTAAAGATGAATATATATAAATATATATATTATACAAGTATAGTATGCAAATTATATATATTATACAAGCACAGTATCTAAATTTCATTTGTAATGATAATTTATAATTCCATAATTACAATTTAATTTTAATATTAATTATAATTGAATCAACAAAGTCATATATGATAAAGAAAAAAAAAAAAAAACAGTAAAAGAACAAGTGATTCTCATGTGGATTCTCATGTTGAATTCATTCTGTATATCTTTTATTTATATTTTTAAGCTTTCTTTACAAAATATCGATTGCTTGAATGCCATTAAATATACTACTATCATTTTTATTCAACAATAAATCTTAAACAATTATTATCGACAATTTTTGAGAATGATACATATGTACGTATGAGTGTGCGTGTTTGTTTGCATTTGACCAAATTAAATTATTGTTAGTATTATTCATATAGTATTATTTATATTCTCACATATCCATATTTCAAACTTTCGAATTTCTTTCTTTTTCTTGTTGATTTGAATTCGTTCAATTTTGCCGCCGAGTAGAACATCCCCTCCATTGGTACAAAATTTGAGAACAAAACATCGGTGCGGGGTGTCATTAGACAATAAAAGTTCGTAGCGTAACGATGTGTGATTCTATAACCTATTATATATAATTGCAACATGATTCTCTGCTACTTTCTTCTTCCTGAAATTTTGTTACCTTCGTATACTGCTCTTAGGTTTGTTTAAACAATAAATGTTTATTTATTGGACATTTTATTAATTCATTGTATTTAAGAATTTTTTTTCATATTTTTTTCTTAATTATATATTTGATTATTATTAATGGATTTAAATTCGATTATTATTTCATATTAATACGATCACAACTTTAACATTTTTACATATTTTTACATATTTATGGACGTCACGTGAATCAACAGTTCGTTTGTTGTTCTTTCATGGAGCTCCAGTAATGTTTGAATAATGAAAGCAGTCTTGTCTTCTCACTGGTAACATTTAATATACATTTATTTATTTCATTATGCATACTTGACATGTACGATATGATTAAAGAATAAATGATTTTGCAATTTATTGAAAACAGAAAAAGTAGGAAAGAATGTAGAAATTACTTATGTTAAATATATAATTATGGAGTATATTGTATCTATATTTAATAATCAAACAAATCATTTTATTATTTCAATACGTATTTTAGAATAATGTCATGAATAATAAAATACAGAAAATTTTTGTAATAGATTTTTTTAATTTAAATTCACTAAATTTTGCTATATTTAAGTAAGAAATTCAAATATACATAGTTTACGAATACGCAACTGTAATGGCGTCAACTATAGCGATTATGATAATTCATATTTATATCACAATACTATAAATAAATAATAACTCCGTAATTGATTTTAGTTGTTTATATAAAAATATCAATATCACAAAATATACAATTACTAATAATTTAATGAAGATTACATAATGAAAGTTAAATGACGAAATGACGAAATAACGAAATAACGAATGAAGAATCCTACTATGGCTACAATATATATAAGTGGCAGTAAACATTANCCATGGTGATAATAAAATTAATAGCTATTTTTAAATACTCTATTGTTTATATTAAATATACATCTCGACGGAACATAGATGTCGTTGATCTAAATTCTTCGAAGTAGAGGTCGCTACACAACTTCTTGTAGTGGCGTCATCTTTTGACTTCTATGTATAACTTTTATCTTATAAAAAAGGCGCCACATGTGTAGGCGCCATTTTTTCAGATGTAACATTATTGTATCTTTCAAACGAACTAACTTTGAATTTTTTTTGTTGAGTAATGAAATAAGTGTTTTTTGCATAATAGTATTGTCCATATTATTCGCAGATACAATAATTCGCGCCAAGCCTAATTATAATAGTTATAAAGAAATTAAATTTTTCTTTCTTTTATTGTATGCGTATGTCTTTTATTGTATTTCTTAAAATATTCGTTTTTGATACTAGAGCCAGTGCTTTTCTCAGAAGGATTCAGTCTCTCTAGGTTAAGAATGTAAGTATATTTGCATATTATATTCTAATTTATTTCGTTTTTCCTATTTTGTTTGAATTTTAATTAATTTCTACCGGAACGAAATCTTAAAGCTTTAGTGTTAGGTTATGAAGTAAAAAAGTCCAATCTTAGAATTCTGAATTTCTAGATTTCATATAGTTATGTTACAACTTAAATTGTTATTAAAATTTCAATTCATAATAGTTGAAATTTATTAGAATTCCAATTGTTATTATTAAAATCCCAAGTTTAAGAGTTCTTTTTGTTATTATTTCAAACGTTTTCATTAATTTTACCAGAACAAATAATGATGTTCCATATTTTGTTATAGACGTTCTATAATCTTTACTTCATCCAGTTCTCTGCAGAGGGCTTAATGGTGCCACACAATGTAAGTATCTTCATATATTGTCACACAATTTGAAAATAATTTAAATTTTCAATATTAAATTGCCAAATAAAAATGTCTAACACATTAGAGTATCGATTTTTAAATTTTAAACTATTATATCATTAGAAAATTTGTATATTATCAAAACTTTCTGTTTAATAAAAAGTTAGTCTTTCATTGTCTTTAATTTGTCAAATAATTAAGATTCTCTTTAAGAACGATTTGTAACATTCCATATTCTGTTAAGGACTTCTGTAGTCTTCACATGGTTCTTCCTTGATCATGGCATTTACGATGACCTCCCCTGGACTACTGCAGCACTGACGACAACGTTCTCCGCATCCGATCGTGAGTCGCATGCACTTTTGTTCCTCTGGTCACTCAATCATGTCGTAGGATGAAAGGTCCGAATCGACACGGGTGACTGGTTGTATTACGTAGAATTTTTTGCGAGCATAGTGACTGCGGGCATTTATTATACCCGCGAGTGGTAACATTTCCAGTATACTATTTATTATGTAGTTCAGGATAGATCTTTTTTGCACGACACGGTTTTTATATTAGTATAGTAATTTATATTAATTAGCAATTGATATGAAAAATATATTTGTAACAGTCTTTGTCTATGAATTTTTCGAATTTTGCGGACGTGATCGTGAGGTGGATCTCGAAACGAACGTATACATATGTATCTAAATCGAATTCACGAGTTTGTACTCATATATGGACAATAATCATTATGATTATTGCTCGTTCATATGTACGCGGATGGTTTTTTTTTTCAATCACAAAATGTGATATAAATTTTATAAGTTGGACCGCTGAAGAAACAACAGTCTTAAAAAAGGGCAATTATTAATGGTTTTTCATTTTCTTGATGAGAAGTCATTATTGTCACTATGCTCGCTTTTGGTATTTTTCTTTCTTTTTTGATCGACATATGTTTACCATCATCATATTGGACAAATTGAATTTTTTTTACTAATATTGCATTTTGAAGTAGAGTTGCAAATGAATTCTAATTTCTATAAATTCTACAATATCTATGAATTTTAATTTTTTAATAGATCTATATAGTTTTAAAAGAAGGATTGATTTTATTGAATTTATGTAAATTAATGATAAAAGAGATACCACCATTTTTAAATTTCTCCTCGATATTTTCTAATTATGAATTTTTTAAATTTATCAATTCTTGCGTTAGAATTGCACGTTTCTTTTAAGATTGAATTGGAAAAACTTTAATTTTCATTCAATTTTTTAACGTCGTAGATACTTGAAATAATTTCTCTCGTTCGTACAGGAACAATAATTTCCATTAGTTCCATCTTAAGAATTAAAGTTACAACTATTTTAACTACTTCTACAGCTAGGGCTACGTCGACAACTGAACGATAAAAAATATGATAAAATATAAAAGAAGCGAATGAAAATATAAAAGCAGCAATAAAAACTATAGCTCCTCAAATCAAAAATGTAGCCTTTATTTTAAAAGATATTTTTCTCTAACTCTTTTCTTACTGTTAAAATACAATTATCATATACAAGTATACAATGCTATAATTATCGTGACACATTTAATCATCTGCTTGTTACCAGCGCGTATTTCGATTACGAAGGAACATGTTTCTTTAAAATGTAATTTACTGAGGTTGCAGTATTGTTTTGCGATACATGTTTGAAAATACGTACGTATGTATGTATGTATGTATGTCTGTTACGCGAAACAAGCCATTTTCAATCGCAGGCGTATCTCATTAATGGTTAATATTTCTCGAGTTACGTCGAGATACAACTTAATCATCGCTAATGCCTTAGATATTATACTTAAGTTAGATATTAATCGTTCAACAAGTAGAAGGTGTAAATGATGAAAGAAAACAATAATGCAGAAGAATTCGTAATAACATATATTCTATATAACACAATACTTACATAGGTATGTCTATGTTTATAGTTTTTTTTTTCTTTTTTCTTTTTGAATCGGTATATATGTATATATATAATATAATAATTATTATATATATAATATATACGTAATAATTAATAAAATATAATGTTTAATAATGTTAATCGTATATGACTATATAATATATTATTATCTCGTTCCACATCATCGTCATCGTCGTCGTCGTCGATCGATCAATTACTTTCTACCATTTATACTGATCTTTTTATATATATATATATATATATATATATATATATATTTATATAAATATATATATATATATATTTAATAACAATGATCTCAAAAGGCTTATATATTATTCGGCTAGCGTTATGGGATAGCTTGAGATTTTTTTATTTGTCGTTAAATATTTACGGTTTTTTTTTTTTTTGTTTTCTCTTATAGTACACGTGATAAATTCTTCTTTCTTTTTTCCCCCCCTCTCTTTTTGCTCTTTATTCATCTGTACTTATACCTAGATATTTGCAAATATATTTTTCACTATCGTCACCGTGTTATATTTCGGTACAATACAAATACAATTTTTAAATATAGCTTTTCCTGTCGAAGCGTACTTTCAACGCGATTACGTGTGTCGATTCATACGATCGATTTCGCTTCTGCATGGGTATCTTTGTCTCGAGGATCGATCGTTTCATTTCACTTCATAATCCTCGCAACCAATCGGTATATAACTCTGTGTAATAATTGAAATCCTTTCCCCCCCCCCCCCCCACCCCTTTCTTTTTTCGGTAGTAAAACTTTTTCTCATTGTGTGTTTTTTCATAAATTAAAGTAACACGACGATGAAAGTATCAAACACGATTTTCTATTGCAAAATCGACGAATACACACGACTTATACCCTGTCACAAAATTGCATTTTCGAAATGTCGACGTGGAAACGAAGATAGAGGGAAGTTAGAGCGAAAGACAGACACAATGGTCCAATTACTCGGTTCAATTCAACCAGGAATAGCAGAATGTTTAAATGTATCAAAACTGTCGTTGAAATTTTTCCATAATTTTGTTCATTCATCTCGCGATGTTGTTAAACCATCGAGGACCGCGAGCAGGTAGTTTAATCGATTTAACGATGTTAGAAGTGTTTAAATTTTTTTCGAGAACTGCTTGGAACTACTCCATTTCACGAGTACAACGTTAAAAAAGAGAAACGACAGATTCGACGATGAGAAATGTCTGACACAAAAGATCGGGAATGAAATATTTCACCTAAATGTCGATCCTCGGGTGGGTTGAGTCGTCGTTGCGCGGCGCGTGTTTTCGACAAATACCCGTGAAACCTATGAAACAATGAATTTCCATTAGATGCAGGTCCGCGAATCGAACGTCCGCTGAATGATGAGGTAATGAAGTCGCTGGATGCATGAAATATGTAATTCACTTTCACACGTTGCTCTGCGCGATTCCGAAAGTAACGGGTGGGAAAGAAAAATTCCACGGTTCGAGGTTAGGCCCGTTGCTGCTGCTGCAAAATGGTGGTATTAACGGATCTGAAACCGAACGTGTTTGCGCATTATATAATCCAGACTGCGGATGTTCTGTGCATTTTTCGTGGCATGACAAAATTTAAAGACACGTAAGATTTTTCACCGCAAAATGTATACGAAATATCCGAAGCAGAACGTTCGTTGCAATTCTCTGGCAGACGGGCAAAAGACTATTTGTACGAAGTCGAGATTGCCTCTGAAATATTGCAGAAATATTCACCTGTGATATTCGAGTTTACGAAAAATCGGATCTCGTAACGTAAAAGTCATCTCAAGATATACGTCATCTCTTTTTTTCTTCTTTCTTTTGTTCAAAATTTTCTTTCGCGTTTGCCTGCGTCCAGAGGACCACCGGGTGAAAAAAAGTGAAAGAAAATTCTATTTGGCCGCTCTTCTCTCGTTGTCAGCTGCACTCTGTTACAAAAGTTACACGCGGGAAATGCATGAAAATTCGCAGCCTAATTGCAATCCGCCGGCCGAGCGTATTATCGACGGAGACACGCGGCGCTGGGTCGGTACTTTAGCCCGTACTTTTATGGGTGACAAGAACCATTTCGTCGAACAATGCGTACGCCGCGTACGTGTAGGTGTTGGCAGCATGAAAGGCCGTATCGCGCGACGCGATTTCGCGACGCCTGCCACATGCTCATGCTTGTCCGTTCCCCTTCTGTTCTTTGCGCTAGATTTCGGTGAACGAGGGCGCTTTTATTAAAACACAGGACGATCTATTGCTAGTGGTGTATTGCGAGTTGCGGGTATATCTCGACCCTCGGTGCGGCGCTTGTTGTTTTCGATTGGTCGACTCGTGTAGCAGCGTTGAGAATTCGCTGTCGTGTTAAGAAATATATGATGTATCTTCGCGAGTCGTCTTCTTTTTTTTTTTTTTTTTTTTTTCCCCCCGTTTTTTTAAATTGAACGACCGCGCGTAGAGAAAGTTTCTTATAGATGACTCCCGCCGTTTGAATATTTATACAATAGTACCTGGTACTAGCGCTGTTCCAAAAGAAAAAAAAAAAAAAAGAGAAAACATCGCAAGACGAGCGTCTGTGAATATGTATACCTCTATGTTATGCGTATGTAAAAGTACACAAGCATAGGAGTAATTTTGACGATGTAACAACTCGTTTCAGCTGATCACGAACGAATCTATACGTCGAATAATCGAATCAGGTGTATCGAGCATTCAGTATCGGATCGATGTTTTTTCTTCCTCGCGTCGGTGATGAGATTCGAATCTCATATATAAAGCGACTATCACTTCGGATGTGATTTAAAGCTTAGCAGGTTCCGCTGCTGCCTGAACAGGTCACTGGTGATAAATATTTTTGAAATAATCAGAATGGAGTATGAATATCGTTAACGGACAATTTAAAGTAGCGTGGGCAGTCAAGGCGTGTTGAGAATAGAGTTCGACTTGAACGTTTATATTTATAATATTATTAATATATATATATATATATATATATATATATATTAATATATTTTGTAACTTCGATTTATATTTATATTTATATAATTTTACGTTAGCTCGCAAGGTCGCGTAACCACATTCGCGATCCACTTTCTCAAAACCTTTTGAAAAGATTTTCAAAATTAAAGAATTTTCAAGAAAAGCTTCAAGCTTCGAGATCTCGTGTTTCAAACACGACTTCGAATTCGATTGTCTCAGACGCCGCAGCTACTTCTTTTTCGACGATGTCCGCCATTTTGGTAACACGTCCCTGTATCGAACGCAGTATCGTTGCACGAGGACGATGATTTCCGTTTCAACGAGAGTATCACGCGTTGAGTTTTCGTATAATTTTCGATAATAATTATCCGATCCTGATATGCTTTATTATTTAATTCCCACGTTTGTGTGTGTGTGTGTGTGTGTGTGTGTGTGTGTGTGCAACATTCGGGATCAAAATAGTCCGCACACATCGCGGGGATGAAGCCAGTCTTTGCGTAAAAAAAGGAGTCTTCGTATATGCGTGGCGCGCGTCGATCTTAATATTTATCACCTATAATGAAACGAAACGAAACTCGCCGCCGTGTATTGTTTAATTAGGAACGCGTGCATTGGCGACTTGCGTTCAAGTAGAGTGCACGTTCCTTGGAACGAACCAAGCTTTTG